AGATTATCGAATCGACCGACAGTACCGAAGGTTGTGTGAGGTAACAGCCCGCGAGTACTGCATTCATTGCTTACTCTGCGGTTAGACCTATCGCTTTTTATTCAACTCAACCGATGTAACGGAGCTTTGACTTCACAATCGTGACTATCTAAGCTCATTCGAAACTTCCGATTGATAAAAAGTTGTAAAAAATAGTTCAGAAAAAAAAACAAGATGATATTTCGTTACGAAATTAACTTAATTTCGAAGCTAAATACTTTAAGAATTTTAAAATCACACTTTTTGGAATTAAATGAATACTATCAAGTTCGCAGAACCGTTTGTCAAGTGTTTCGATAGCGTAACATAAATCTACATTTTAGCTTTCTTAATATATCACTTTTATTCGCAAACAAGATTATTAATTTGTAGTCATAGGGTAGACAAAAGAGTAACGTCCGCTAGAGGGCGTCGGAAGGTCATTGTGAGGACACGCGCGTCGACACCCACAAGCGCTTGCCTCTTTGCGATGTGTCAGCTAAGCTTTCTTTTTCATATTGCTTGTATCCTTATATTTTGAGGACCTTTATTTAAAAATACATTTTTAGGTAATTATGTTTTGTCGATTGCATTTATAGTCGTCATTGGGACTCATAGTGATATAACTTAGTCATACTTTGGTTTTATTTGTTCAAAAATGCAAAAATATCGTATTTTCTATAATGGTGTCATTGAGTTATCGGTGTCAAAATGTCAACGAAGTGTTTTTATACAGCCATAAATATAGTAGAATATTGGACGTTGTTGAACAACAGAGGGCGCTTGAGTAACACTCAAAACTGAGTCAGAACTTCGGCGACTGCGTAACCACTAAGTGGGGGGAGAGTACGAAGTAAAAAAGAGAAGGGGGATCACTCGAAGTCAACAAGCGTCCTCTAGACCGCAGTTAATTACATTTTATAACAGTTCAAAAGGATTCTTTCATTTCACTTGACACCTACACCAAAAGTCGAGTGGATAATTCTATATTTAAGTAGGTTTAAGGTCAAGAGTGTAATAGAATATTTTTAGAATCAGGACTCGTTTCGTTTTTCTCACTTATTTGAGGGGAGATACGTAATATGTCTATTTAATTTAAGTTTAATTCACAAACATTTATGCATGTAAATGACAATGTAACTGGCCAGTAGGAAAAGCGTCCACTGAAACTGTAAACATTGAAAACGGAAGTGGGGTCGGAGCGGGCAATCAACGTTCCGGAAGTGACAATTTGATGTCGTCTCTGGTGAATTAGTTCGCAGCGAGCGTGCGGACTCAATATGAACAGCCCTCAATGCTTGCCATATTGCTGCTTCCGGGTCCAGTCTTTAGTAGATTATTTCTAATCGAAAATGTATCGAATTGAGTAGATTAGATGTTGCCAATGATAAATGATAAATTGAAATGTAATTTTAACTAGAGATGTAAAGAATTACATGACCTATGCTCATCAAAATAATAATTTTAGTCGGAACAGTTGCTTGCACCAATATAAAAAGATTGTTCTGTCTGTTTGTACAAAGAGAATGCGAGACTTTTAATTAGATAATGAAAATTATTGAGTACTTAACATTAGGATTATCTATGCAAATAATCTTAATCCTTAGGTATATTTTTGAATGGATTTTATCGCTTTGGAATTTATGTCACGGATTATTGATATTGATCCAGTTTGGATATGGCGACAGGAAATTCTATTTTCAAATCCATATTATTTTTGTTTTAACACATTCCATTTGGTATTAAAGAATGATAACTGAAATATTTCAAATGATATATCTATACGTGAAATTAGAATTTAGATAAAAAAACGAATACAGTCGTAGATATTATAATTTCTTTATATTTCGATATGTTTCTCGAAATCGTAAAATAAATGCCTCCTAAATCTACGATATTTTTAATAAATTTTAATTTGACTAACCCAGCCCTTAATATGTGTTATAGAGAGCAAATACCATCGCTAGTGTCCTGATTAGATAAATAATAAATAAATAAATTCATTTATTTAACAAAAAAAAGATAGATACTTATGTTAATACATACATAAAATTATTTTTATTAAATTATCCATACAAGTAAGATCGCGTGCGACTGAACATTACCTTAGCGTGCTCGTTGCCAATATCGTATGAGTGCAATGTAATAAATATATTATTACGTTCACCATTAGCCTTATAGGTCGATAATGACAATGTACAAGATAAAGTTGTTAAGTATAACTATTATAAGAAAATAACCCTTTTTTGTTTATAAACCATGTTCACAAATCTTTGTAGTTAATGCTTCGAACAAATGATAGTTGCAAATATTGTATATTTTGAGAAGGTAGAGTAGTTTGTAGAACTATAATGTGCCGACCCTCAAGTGGTGAAAGGAGCAATGGCAGGTTGATGATTTTAGAACCTAGTACATATTGATGAATCAATTATTGTCAAAAATTCTTCATATATTTATTACAATTTGTAACAGAAATATCATAGACTTAAAAACGACAGAAGAATAACTCGCAACTATTCACGGGAATAACTTCGGTTTATTAATATAAAGAAATTTACATTTCTAAGCACTAAGTAACAGGACATCGTTAAGCTATTTAGGTAGTGATTAAGGAACAAGTTAAAAATGTTATGTTCATTAGGACTGGATATAGAAATGGGATATCGGATAGTCCATACTAGGATGTAATAGCGTTTTGCATAAGTCGTCTAATGATGGCTAACTCGTTTGACCGGCGAGATGAGCTTGGATAGGTTATAAATAATTCTGATTAGAGATTCTCTGACATTTCCAACATGTAAAATTTACTAAGATCTTACTAAGCTGTCTTTAGAGCGTTGTCCTGTGTTATTTTTAAATCACCAGAAAATATTGTTTTTTTTTCTGAAAAAAATTAAATTCGATTTTAAAGAATCCTACAAAAAAAAAAACTATTTTTTAGTCGATTGAAATAATATCAGCGTGTGTTTTTATGGTAAAACTAACTCTGTCTATTTAAGTTACTATGTTGGTTTCAATGTAGTGTTAATGTCATTTTTTTTCAATTCTATTTACCTTAACCGAAACATTTATAAAAGGTATGAACGGAATCGCACCAAATCAACATCCGATACACGTAATAGGTCTCCTAGTGAAGGTGAACGTTGTTGATATACTTATTTATTTATAGATACTCGTACAGTTGCTTGAAACTAGATTCTTTATTATTTTTATTAAGGGACACTTTCTTAAATCAACTCTTTTTATATTATATGAAAATCGTTAAATATTCTCAATTACTTTCATTAGTTAACTAGCATAAGCTAATATACTTTAATAAAAATGTATTTAGTTATTCTGCTCACCCTGGAAACTGCTACCTGTAACAATATTACAATGATTAGTAGGTGTTGACTTCTTAACTTAGCAAAATAATATTCTCTATCTTGCCTTTTGCCAGGATTTCGACCGCGCGGAATTAAAAGTAAACGTTTAGGCTACAATCTCTAACAAACATCCATCCATCCATCTAACTATTGTAATATTATAAATGCGAAAGTTTAGATGGATGAATGTTTGTTAAGAGTTTGTAACCTAAACGGCTTACTGGAAGAACACATAGGCTACTTACTTTGTTTTTATTTAATTCTACGCGGACGGAGTCGCGGGCGAAAGCTAGTATTAAAAGTAGGTACAATGTATTGATAAAAAATTATAGTAAGATGTTCCATTGAACAGTAATTTAAGGGATTTGAATTGTAACATCAGTTTTGATATATTTTATATTTCTAATTATATAAAAGTATATGAGCAAAAAAGCTTTCCTACAAAAGGGCGTTCAATTTTCAGCTATTATTGTTTGAAACAAAATTAATTATCCAACGAAGCGAAATTGCTTTTAGAACAAAATGAACATCTTAATGATATTCATTAAATATTAAAACATTATTTTGAATATTTCAAAGTAGTAGCAGTGACCTTTTTCTTGTATGTAAATATGTGGAATACATTATTCTCATTCGAGGCATGGACGTAAAGTATTGACCATTACTGTCTCCACCGCGTATGTCTCATTAAAGATATTTAATACATTGAAAACGGAACAAAAATAAACGTTGAGCAACGCGTTTCTTCAGAATCGTCTATTGTTTAAGATTACTAAATGTTTGATTTTATGCGCCATTTTGTTGTGTGGAAAATAGCAATGTCTTAGACAACTCTCATAACAACGGTGAAATGAAATTCTTGGATATACAACTAATAAAATTGATTTTCTGAGATAACAAAATTTATAACAGAGTGACAATAATCGTTAAATTACATCTAAGAACAAAAATATTTAAGTTGCAACATGTTGCAAGCCATTGTTTTATAATAATGACATAAGTAGGTTCTACTTTGAAATACACAAAAAAATAGAAACATGATTTTAATCTAAAGTATTTGCACTAAAGCTTAACATAGTTTAACATCAGAGTTCGTGTCTTATTAGATCTCTATCAAGCGATTGAGATCAATAGTAAACCAATTTTATTAAAAGCAAAAAAAAAATCAGGATTATCATGAGTGCAAATTACATGTTCTGTAGTCTACCATTATGTTGTCTTTTAAAAAAATAGACCGTGCAGTGTGCATGTGCTCGTCCACCTCCTTGTATGGAGACCTTGGAATATCGAATAAGGTATACTAATCACTTTAGGAAGAATAACGCATAATTGTGTAAAAAAGGTGATAGCTCGTGGATTGAATTTCTACAGCATCCATGAGAAAGGAAGATTTTTGTAAGATTCAGTTTAATTAGCTATCATACACCCGCGAGCCCTTCCTCGAAAAATGAAAACAAAGTATGTAAGTTGCCTATGTGTTCTTCCAGACCATCGATGCCGAATTTCATCGAAATCCGTGCAGCAGTTTAGGCTAAAAACTTTAACAAACATCCATCTAAACATTCGCATTTATAGTACTAAAAAGATAATAAGATTTAAACGCAATGTTTTTTATTTGTTTTTACAAGATCGTATCACGATGGTATGTTTTTAGAAGACGTATCACTTTTCATCATGATGTTTCGAAATACTTACTGGTATTAAAATTACGAAGTCAATCTCAGAGATAACATTTTCCACAACCTAATAGCTCCGTTGTATCAAATACGAATATTAAACTGCACAGTGATTGTATGCTTTACTAGTTAGAGTGCTGCTAACTTTTGGTTGTGCGTAGGTGGTCCTTCTCGTTGGTGGTCTCCATTGTTTTCTATTCATGCGTAGTTTAAACACGCTTTAATGTATGTATCTTTTTTTATAATATAAGGTGGCAAACGCGCAAGCAGCCACCACCACCGAAATGGAAAGCGACCGCTGCCCATAAACATCCACCATTGCAGGTGCCTACCCTTAATTGAATGAGGAGGAGACGTAAATAAAGAGGATATTTCCCCTTCCTATGCGTCTCCTCTACCGTCAAATCCACTTTTCTTAAATCTATACTAAAACTTTTTAATTCTTACCAAGGTTTACTTTATTAATTGCTATCTTATTTTTGTACTGGAATAACATTTGTTTTCATAAAAAATATAAGTATTGCAACCTTTTAGATATTATTTGGTTATAATACATTCATACTCGTAACATAGCGGGGTAAACATAAGTCGGATTTCAATTAGATGTAAATCGAAAATCTCGTATTTCTCTTGTATATGAAAAGATCGTAAACTCATTCAAATCAAGGATCAAGACCGAAAGATTACACAATAATATACATAGTAAAGGATATTAATGCCGACAATGTTCATATAAGATAGTGAACCTTGAAGAGACGTATTAGGAACGGATGCCTCCATGTAAGTCTATCAGGGCCAGACTGCGGTCCGCCATTTTTTTGTACAAACTACCGCCACCTACAGGTTATGTGATGCGTTAAAACTGGCATTTGGAATATCTTACTTCTTACAAATATATAAATGCGAAATTGTATATGGATGGATGTTAGAATTTGTATCCAGAACTGCTGATGGGATTTTAATGAAACTTTGCATAGATATAGGGGATAGTCTGGAAGAACACATTGGTTGTTTACTTTTTCTTTGGTTCCACGCGGACGGAATCGCTGGCGAAAGCTAGTTAAAAAATAAATCTTATAGAATATATAATCAAGTTTAGTAATAGCTACCCTATTGATGTAATATAAACTTTTATAAATAACAGCATGTGAAATTAGTGTTTAACATTTTACTATGGCCGATAACAAAGAATGTTTTCCTTCATTTCCGCGAGCACGTGTTTGATTACAGAAACAAGTGCTTTGATTGACCGTTACAGCATGCATCAGTTGGTCCGTCGATCTCCATCAGTGCGGAGCGAGGTAACGGTGTGATACGCTGCCTACGGTCTTGCTTGCATTAAGTGATTAGCTAATTTCACACGAAGGTGGCACAGTACGGTAGAGCAAGAGTAGGAGGGCAGTACTGTATTTTTATTGAACACTTACTATCAATATAATAATTCTTTCGCACCGTGAAATTCTGCTGCTGTGATACTTGTTGTCTATAGTTTCTGGAAGGGTTCGAATGCGAAGACAATGTGATTTTATGCTTCGACTGTCAAAAAGACAACGTCTACCTTAAAACAAGAGCTGTCCTCTTTTTTCCTACTGTTCTGCTGCATTGGACTACCCTCGTATGAAACCGGCATTAATGTTAATTATACTGATACAGCGGAATTAGCAGCCGGATGCACTAAGTATCATTTAGTTTATGTTATACGCTAAGTTTTGTAACGAGCTTAGACGTTATTGAGCCATTTAGTGATAGTATGATTTCTAACTTTATGTAACGCTAATAACAGATGTCAACATCCTTTAATAACGACTATAAGGGCCTGTCTTAACACTGGCTGATAGAGGCTTAAATGACGTCACTGTCAGATAAGGAAAGAAAATCCGATATTTCCATCACATATTTTTACAATTTGGTGGGACAGGCCCTAAGTCAACTAAATTTAGCACATACATCATACAAAAGTATAAAACAATAATAACGGTTCCAAGTTCTAAATTAAATGTGCAGAGTCACGTTTACTTAACATTTTATTGTATGTATCGAATAAAAGTTTGGTGTTAGAAAAAGTTTGATAACGGTGGAGTTCCTGGTAATGTGGTAAAAGAACATTGCGCTCGCTTCTAACTGTCCCTTGCCCTCTTGACCGATACTCGACAACGCTCACCTTCCTTACATATTTTCTTTCTTGTAGTGCAAGTTATAAGAGTCTTGTTCTACCGCGCGACTCCATTCTCGATGAATAAAAATACTCAGTATGTAGGATGTTTTCTTCTACACTATGTTCTACAACTTCGCTTAATTTAATCTAGATCCGTTCATCCGTTCTGGAGATACCTAGTAACATCCATCCATCCATCAATCTAAACTTTCACATTTATTGTATTAGTAAGAAGAAATATTAAGTTACGTGAACACTTACTTATTGTGAATGGTAAGCGGCTTAAGAAAATGAAAAAAATTAAACTGTCATTACCAAAATTTTAAAATAATTTCGGACAGCCGGACAGAAAAAAAATCGATTCTCCTGTGTATGTTAAAATCTCACAAGGTATTTTATAAACGGCCAGGCATCAGAAAAAGGCTTTTAGAAGTTTATAAAGCTATAACTAGACACAACTGGGATTTTAAACTTCTCTAGAGACAACGCTCGACGATAAAGTAAAAAATACGCTCTAAGCTTATGAAATGCAGCCTACTCATTACAGCGGAGTTTTTGCTAGAGTCCGAGGTACTTGGGCATCGTTACGGACAGAGTTTCATTGATTGACTCGCCGCCGCGCTGCAGCGGTCACTGAGTTACCTGCTATATCCACACATTGAGGTCTAACAACGCGTATTTACAATAAAAGATATTGTATTTTGATTGTGAGAACTTTATACAGATAATGTCAATAGTGAAATAACTGCATAATAGAAAAAACTACAAAGTTAATTGTATGAAGTAACTTAATATTAGTCTTTTAGTGTTGGTTGTATAAATAAAAAGAAATATCTTTGCATTACAGATGGAAACACAAAAGACCCTACTATAAAATACTGTTGAAAATAATTGTCGTCGTACCAAAACACTAGAGCGGAGGCTGTGGAGTGAATCCTTGTGAAAAACCAGGACATGTGTTGCTTAGAGTCGCGCCTCGCTGAGGACCTTTGACAAAGTAATGACGCCGCGGAGACAAAGCCACCCTCACTCTCCTTTCCCCATCCCTCCCCCAAGACCCCCGAAAGGGAGGGAACATCCTCTTTAGCGAGGGTATCTGTGCCTTGAGAGGGTAAGGCCATTGTTTAGGCGATTCCTTCGAATATTTATTTTTAGTACAAACG